TGGGCTTGGGTGACAATGGCAGCTAAGATAGTCAGAGAAGCAAAACCAGGTCTGACAGATGAGTCACGTTAGTGTATGAATGAATAGGAGTGGGCTGGAGAGCAGGATCCAAGCTTCCTGCAGAGACAAAGCGCTGTGCCTGGCAGAAGGAACTTGTGAGGACTGACTGCAAAAGTGGCCTTCCCAGCTGTAATCTTTGCTAAGCATAGGAAGCCACTAAGAGTAGAAAGGGTCAGTTGTCACAGGTCTATTCATTTACTCCTCATCTACCCGCCAGCTAAGCCCTCCTCACCTGCATCCTTCAGACCTGGAACTATCCTAACATAGTTCATTTGGTCAAGAGATGGCTCTGGGGGCACGAGATGTGGGTGGAACCTAAGAGATCCCTGGGGAGACAGCCAGGACAGCTCTATGGGGAACAGACACACCACCATGATTTCATTGCAGATCAGTAGAGGGGGAAACCTAGGAAGGGCTTCAGCAGTGTCCAAGCTCAATCCACTATACGTGGGAAAGGCTGTTCCCCACCCTTAATGAAAGCCCCTCAGGTCAAGCGGCAGCATCCACAGTTTAAAGAACCACAGGCATTTCATAAGGGCAGGGATTCTCCCACGTCTGTGCTGGTGACAAAGGGTTTCATTGTCCGGTGAGAGGAGGGAGCTACAGAGAGCGTGTTTATAGGTTCCCATGGCAGATGCTCTGACTGTATGTGACTGTTGCTCTGTCTAATGTGGCTGTGTGGTGCATGTGGTTTTTAATGTGCATCCTAGTATCTGATTTAGGCAAACTGAATCTGTCATTAAACTCTCACATACCACACCCAAGAGAAGTGATGTCATTGGTCATTGTCTTAGTTAGGGTTTCTATTGCTGTGAAGTGACACCATGACCATGGCGACTCTTATAAAGGAAAATATTTAATTGGGGCTGGCTTTCAGTTCAGAAGTTTAGTCTACTGTCACCATGGTGGGAAGCATGGTGTCATGTGAGCAGACATGGTGCTGGAGAAGGAGCTGAGACTTCTGCATCTTGATCTTCAGGCATCAGGAAACTGTGTCCCATACTGGGCATGGCTTGAGCATATGAGACTTCAAAGCCTGTCCCCACAGTGACACACTTCCTCCAACAAGACCACACCTCCTAATAGTGCCACTCCATATTTAAACATATAGTCTATGGGGGCCATAACTATTCAAACTACCACAGAACTAAAAGAGACTCCTGGACCTCCATCCCAGAACAACTTTCCTCAGAATATTTGGACAGTCCCCCAAATTGGCATTTTCGAATGATACCCTGAGTGAAAATGAAAGGCACTAACATTAAAGATGCAATGGCATAAGGCAGTAAAAATGCCTCTTGGAGATAGCACACACTCGCTGAGTGAAAACAACTCCAGTGACATTTAATGAACAAAAGAGTAAATGGTCTAGAATTGAGTACTAGGAGCGGCTGATCAATCATGCGGTCATTCAGTATATACATTTATGACTTCTGGGCCTAAGAGGCTTGGAGGGTCTGTGAGTGGTTCACGGCTCAGTCTGAAGGAGCCGTGATTTATCACACTTGTTTGGAAGCTTGCCAGGAGGGTCCCCAGGGACACAAGCCCCAGATGGGAAGCAAGAGGAAAGGTAAGAAGCAGTGGCCTCTCCTGGTGTTCATGGAGAGTGGGAAGTGGGGAGAACCACCCCCTTCCCCTTTAGAATGGACATAAAAGCCTGATCTCCCAGCTCTACTTCTAACTTCACCGTACAGAATTCTAACTCCAAAAGTTTGATTTGAACCAATAAGCATCTTATAAAGGTAAACTGCCTGAGGGGAAGGTGGGCCTCTTAGTGACAACCCTGCATAAACTAGACTGGTGAAATGGCCCTAGTGAGTACAGCCTGGGAGAGGAGAGAAGGGTGGGAGCAGGCACCTGAGGAAGAGAGCAGGCTGGGGAGGTGTGTGCACCCCAGCAGCTTCCAGATCCAGGGTGGCACTGGGGTTTCAAATGACCATAGACAGCTTTATTTGGCTTTGCCATTTTTTTTTCTAAATATCCCAGGCATCTTTCAGGATGACCTTGCCACTGCTCCAACTTGAGTTTTGCCCCTAGTCCCCCTGGTAATGGTCCTGGAGTGTGGCCTCCCAGATCCTTATCGGTGATTCTGCCTCTATTGAGTTTCTCTGCTGTACTGCAGCTTTCGACACTGTATCCACGTCACACACCCCCCCCCGCTTCTCACCCACCCCTGAGTTTGGTCATCAGGCTCCTCTGCTTTTTGCTGTCTTCTCTTAAACACTGTCATTCCCGTCTATTCCATCTATGACTCAGGAGACAGCTCTTTTCACCCTTGTTTTCATGGAATGATCCTACCTGCTTCTGCACACATGGGCTCATGTCCACTTATGTACCACTCAGCAGACACAGGTACCGGGCAACTCCAAAACTCAAGTTTCCACCCCATGTTTTTCCTGTAGTCTTAAACCATATATCACATTGCCTTCAAAATTTCACAAGTATGTGGAATACATCGTTTATTATTAACATTACTAGAATATATAATAAAAAGAATTGTCAGATTGCATTTTTTGAGAGAGAGATTTGAGAGCAAAGGGTTTTAGAGTGTGATCTCTGGGAGAAACTTGTAAGAGAGAGACAGTAGAGTTGGGGAGGGGATAGAACGTAAGAGCTTGTGGTCTCAGAGAGTCTAGCTTACAGCTCACCAGGGCCTTACACGGGCTCTGAGCACACATCACCTTTCACAGTCACTTTCTCATAAGGGATGGGGACAGGTCTTAACACACCCGTGTAAGAGGGCCACTGTCTAACCAGGAAGTGGAGTAGTAACTGCCCTGCTTTCTCCAGGAGGAGTGGCATCCAGCAGCCAAAGACAGTTCTCTTTAGAAGGTGACCGGCTCAACCTGATGGTTGCAACTGTCATGGAGCTGGAGAAAGGGCACAGTGACAATATAGGGCTCTCAAAAATGTCACCAACAGCTCCTTTTAAGATTGCTAACATAGTCCATACTATGTGTTTGGCCCCACCGTGAGTACTTTATGCATACACTAATGGACTCACCCTTCAAGGTAGATACTATTGCTTATAGAGTTCACAGCAAGGGAACTGAGGCCCAGATAGGTTAAGGAGTACTTGCCCCAGGAGCTACACTAAGTACTTGGTCAAGCTCAGCATCCTGGGTGAGAGACTACAGGTGTGTGTTACTATGCCTGCCCGTGCTTTCCCTTGCTCCATTTTGTGCCCTTGCACCGCCTGCAGAATGGTGGTCATTCCCTTGGACTCTTTGCCTTATCTCTGGTGAGTTCTCTAAATTAAATCCTTCGTTGCCGATCCTCGGCTCCTCCCCCATGCTTAGTTCCAGAATGGTAGGTATACAGTGACATAGGGAACTGAGCATAGGCTTCAACAGCTATCGGCCTGGTTTTGCATTTCTGCTGAAAAGTTGATTAGTCGCAGAACGTTGTGCAAATGTTGTACTTCAATTTCATCATCTCTACGTAGAGACAGCCACATCCAGTTTATAAGGTTCTTCTGATGATAAAAGAAAATAATGCATAGTAAGTGTCCATGGTTCCTGGCACAGAATAAGCACAAGATTTTAAAAAATCTTCCCCCTCACCAGCTGTGTGCAGCAGACATACAGAGCACCTTGGGAGATCAGGCTGTTTCCAGAAAGTCTGGAACCTTGGCCATGGGAGGATTTATTAAGTGTCATTGGTATGCAGGGTTAGGGAGAGAGTGATCCATACTTCCTTGGGGCTACTCAGGGAGTATCCATGAGCTGAGACAGCCTTCTTATCACTGGATAACATTTAATAATGAATCCTAAAACGAGTTTTTGTCTCTTTTGTGGCCTCAGTCTTGCAATGTTGGCCTTAAAACTAACAAGTGTAAGCAAGTGTGATGGAGTGAAGGGAACGTAACACACAAAACAATTGACACAAGTACTGCCTGGGAGAGGGGAGAGCAGGTGAACCCCCCCCAGGGAAATATCTTACCATATATAGAGAAATGGTTTTAAAATAAGTGACTGGAAAAAGAAAGAAAGGAAGGAAGAAAGAAAGGAAGAAGGAAGGACTGTTAAATGAGATTTCACAGATTTTATTTACTTTTTAATTCAATTTTGAAGAATTGTAGTTGAGGTTTGGATATTTAAGATAAGCTTTCCATAAGCTACATAGTAAGTAGCATCTTGGTTCTTGACTTGCTTATAGTTTTGGTTTTCAAGATGCTCACTCTCACCCCAGCCGGTCTGGATTTCAAGAGCTGCTGCCCCATCCCAACAACCCCAATGGTGAGACTCATCAAGTAGTGTATTGGATAGCTGGATGGTTACCCCACAAGTCAGCCCCAACCCCACTATCCTCCAGTGGTTAGCATGACTCAGCAACTTTAATTTTAATTTTTAATTTTAAAGTTGGCATAATTTTGAACTACTTGTGATTCATCTTAAATGCAATGCTGGCAAATATATGCTACTTATAATACCTTATATACTATTAATCATTGGGCAAAATTGGCCTGGAGACATGCATTGGAAAAGATGCTCTGGCTCAGTTTGTATTTGGAGGTAAAGTGTACTGTGTGTCTGGTGAGCATGAGGAAGACTACTCATCTTTAAGGAACAGTAGAGTCCCTGTCTTTAGGGAGCTTTGATCCAAATGAGAAAATTGATTCCTCCTGGGAAACAAAAACTAAAAGATAATTGAAGTGCGTGATAAACTTCCCAAGTACAGCTGACTAGAAGAGAAGACATAGGGGTTTGCTAAGTGCCAGGAGGAAGTGGAATGCTTGAGGCCCTGATCACATAGAGTATAGAGAGGGTTTGGGAGGAAGTAACCTTTCAGTTGGTTAGACAAAAGACTAGAATTGGGAGGTCAATTCAAGTCAGGAAGATGCGAGTCTCCCTGACCCCCCCCCTTTTTTTTTTTTGCCTGTGTACTAAAAAGTCTCTGCTGCCCAAAGTGACCATGTCTGAACTCTGATCTCCCCATAGTGAGGACGTCTGCAAACGTGGCTTCACAGTCATCATCGACATGCGGGGCTCCAAGTGGGACCTCATCAAGCCCCTCCTCAAAACCCTGCAGGAAGCCTTTCCCGCCGAGATCCATGTGGCCCTCATCATCAAGCCCGATAACTTCTGGCAGAAACAGAAGACCAACTTCGGCAGCTCCAAGTTCATCTTTGAGGTGAGGCAGACCCCTGTCTCCCTCCTCTCCACTCCCCTGTGCGGCTAGTACATTCCTCAGTTTCCTTCCCTGTCTACGCTGTGGTGGCCAAGATGTCAGGGTCAAAGGTTTACAGATCCCTTGGCCATCTTGGCCTTACCACTTACATTCTAGTATGAGTAAGAGGCTCAAGAAATGGTCCCAAATGTACAACATCATTCTACAATCTATATACTGTTGATGGGAGTGTCCATGGCATCAGTATTCCTGACAAAAACATTGCAATTATGTCAAAACTTTTTAAGAGTTTTTATCCGTGGATCTAGTAAGTCTTCTGGGAAACCATTCTTACAAAACAAGAAGATAAAACAAATTAAAATTACAAACAAAATGCCAACAAAGATGTTCATTATAGTTTATTTTATAATAGTATGTATATATGTATATATTATATTGTATAATATATATGCATAGTGTTTGCTATATATACATATACATATAATATATTAACATGCACATGTATTTACTGATACTTTTAATAACAATCCATTGATTTTTGGTGACATTGATACAGAAATCGTATAACGCTATTAAAATCATATTTAGAAAATACTACAAAATGTTCATGATATTTAATTTTTAGAAGACATGTCATAAAACAATATGGATAGTGTGACTTCAGATAGTGTTTTAAAATATCTCTGAGGAAAAGACTGAGTAATGAAATTGTTTGCAGTGGTTTATTTAAGGTGACTAGAAAATGGGGATTTTTTATTTTATTCATGCTTTTCTATCCTCTTTCAAGATGACATACGACTTTCATATCCATGAAAGCATGTTGTTTTCAAACAAAATTTTCCAGAGAGTATATATGAGTCCTTGAGACTTCATGATGATGACACATTAAGATTAAATCAGGGGGTTAAACACTCTTGTTCTAGCCAAATTTGAGCAGAGAGAGACAGTGAGAGAGAGAGAGAAAGGAGAGGGAGAGAGGAGAGGGGCAGAGGAGAGGGAGAGAGGGAGGGAGGGAGGGATGGACAGAGAGAGTTTGTTTTAAAGTCAGTTTCCCATCCTAGAGTACTGTCCCCAAGGACTAGGAGTGCGTATGTGTTGGGGTGGTGGCCCCAGCTGGCTGCAGACTGAGTATAAATGGCCTGACCTCTTGACTGAGGAAGTTCTCACTCTCTATTAATAGCTTAAGAAAATAGTCTTGGTGCAAAAACAGTTAAACATCATGGCCTCCCAGGACCCTACCCAAATCTCCAAGTCCCACAAAAAACTTTCAGTATTATACCGTGCTGGTGACAACAACCCTATACATTTCAAAGGGGGGAGAAACTGAAAAGTGTGTTTCTAAGAATTCTAGAAACCTTTGCTTCTGTGTAGCTGTCCTGTTCACTCCATGACCCTCTTAACACCAAGCTGAGCAAGACCATCTCTGTTTCCTAAGCCAGAGAGAAACAAAGCAGATGGCTGGTGGCTTCCCCTCGGTAAAACAATTAGAGAGCACCAGTGGTCTTACCAGAGCAGCAGGTGGAGGCCCCGCCTCACACCAAGGTAGCACTCAGGATGGGAAGGAGTGCAGAGGCTCAGTCTGTAGCACATGATCAGTGAACGGCCTACAGCTCCGGAGTGTAACTTCCTCCTAGAAGTACGAGCCTAGCCAAGCTGAGAAGAGAATGTGCTTCAGAGTACAGATTCTCAACGTTGATGCACACAAAACCCCTGGGAATCTTGAAAACACAGAATCTGCCTCTAGCCTGTGATGGGCCTGAGAGCCATCTGACAGGCTCTTAGGCAACATGGATGTTGATGGTCCAAATGCCATGCTTTGGAGTAGCCAAGATGGACATCAGCAGAGTTCTGTGCTCCTGGCTGCATGTTAGAACCACCCAAGGACATGTAAAACACCCTGTCCTGAGTTCTGGTCTAAGGAAACCAGGATTTCTAGGGGCTGGCTTGTTTCTTTAAACTCCCTAAGGCAGTGGTCCTCAACCTGGGGTCAAATGACCCTTTCATAGTGGTTTCTTAAGACCATAAGAAAATACAGATATTTACATTCACAACAGTAGCAAAATTACAATTATGAAGGAGCAAAAATAATTATTTTATGAGGAACTGTTTTAAAGGGTCACAGCATTAGGGAGGTTGAGAACCACTTCCCTAAGGGATATAATGAGTAGTCAAATATGAGAATCTCTGGCCTAAGTCAGGCCTCCTTTCAATGAAGCTCCATCTTGTGTCTCAGTTTGAGTGAGTGGAGGGACATTCTCAGAGAACCACAAGATACAAGATGGTCTGCTCTTACAGGCTTTTTTTTTTTTGGTTTTTCAAGACAGGGTTTCTCTATAGCTTTGGAGGTTGTCCTTGAACTCACTCTGTAGAACAGGCAGACCTTGAACTCACAGAGATCCGCCTGCCTAGGCCTCCTGAGTGCTGGGACTAAAAGCGAGTGCCACCAACACCGGGAGACAGACTTATGTGTTAGATACTCACTGACCTTCAGATCACTACAATGAGGGTGTGTAGCCTACTTCATGCCTGGCCTCCTATGTACCTGCCAGACATAGACTCATCTAGTCAGATTTGTGATTAGAGGCTAGGAGTTTCTACCTAGTTTAGCTCTACTCAACAGGAAAGGACACTGGGTCCCTGAAAATTTAGACATTAGTAAGGGAACGGAGATCCTTAATCTAGACATTCCCCTCATAGCCTCTTCACCAGAGAGGGAGGAAGCCAGGAGGGTGGTTGTTTGTATTGTTGTTTGCTGGAGACACTGTTCCTGGACACAACATTCTCACTCTGTCCTTCAAGGGGTTGGCCTCACAGAGAAAGTAAAAGGCTCACATGTTACCTATCTCCAGTTCTGTTCAGTTCTGTTCCAGTTAGAACTGGAAGAACCAGGGTGATGAGCTTGCAACAGTGTGGCCACTGAGATAGTCTTTGAAATCCTTGCAGTCCAAGAATTGTCCCCATTGCTTAATCCACCCGTGATGATACCCTTGCTATAGAAAACTGGGCCCTATCTCCATGCCAGAGACTGGGTTAGGTTGTCATCCAGTTTTTGCTTGTAACATCTGAAGGCCCAATTATGGTAAACTCAGGCTATGGAGGCAGGAAGATGATGGAAACAAGAACACGGGACAGTCTTTCCTTGATATGACTGTGGTCAGGTGGCGAGATTTGTTGAAGCAACCAGCAATCTGTTTGACCTGCTGATTCTGGCTGACTTGTGGCTCCTGAAGAGTGGGCCCTATGGACTCCCTCTCACCCTCCAGTAGGCAGGCTGTGGTTCCAATTGTATGGAGTTGTCCCTTTCTCCCTTCTGCCTATTTCTGCCCTGGTGTCTCCCCCACTAACCCACATCTCTGTGTCTCTTTATTGTGTCTTTCCTCTCCAGACAAGCATGGTGTCTGTGGAGGGCCTCACAAAGCTGGTGGACCCCTCCCAGCTGACAGAGGAGTTTGATGGCTCTCTGGATTACAACCACGAGGAATGGATTGAGTTGCGCCTCTCCTTGGAGGAGTTCTTCAACAGTGCGGTACACCTCCTGTCACGCCTTGAGGACCTGCAGGAGATGCTGGCCCGGAAGGAGTTCCCTGTGGATGTGGAGGGCTCTCGGAGGCTTATCGATGAGCACACACAACTTAAGAAAAAGGTGCTGAAGGCCCCTGTGGAGGAGCTGGACCGGGAGGGGCAGCGGCTGCTGCAATGCATCCGCTGCAGTGATGGATTCTCAGGGCGCAACTGCATCCCAGGGAGCGCTGACTTCCAGAGCCTTGTTCCCAAGATCACCAGCCTCCTTGACAAGCTGCATTCTACCCGACAACACCTGCACCAGATGTGGCACGTGCGCAAGCTCAAGCTAGATCAGTGCTTCCAGCTGCGGCTCTTCGAGCAGGATGCCGAGAAGGTAGGAAGGGAGCAACTGAGTCTGAGCTGAGGTTGTTGGGGCGCAGCTTTATCAGGAAAGTGTTGGGGTTGTTAATCCAGATCTCTGATTGGAGAGATTTGATTGAAATCCTTTTTAAAAGATGCCCATTGGTTTCAGGTAGCTTAAATTATTTCAATCTCATATTTGGCCATTGACCACTTATTATTAAAGTTTATTCTTATGTTGTTTTTATTATATGCTAGGCTCTGTGTTTTGGGCTGTATATATATACACACACACATTAACTTGTTTTAGCCACCTTCAGAGTCCTGAGAGCTAAGTGGACTACCATGGTTCCATTTTCCAGGTCGCTTGTATCAATGCTACAGACACTGCCCTCTGTGCCTATGATGTGTGAGTGGATTGAGCTGCTGACAGCCAAAACAGCAACACTATTAGCAACTATTGTTGTCCTATAGTGGGCTTTCCTTTCTATGAGAATTTTAAGTGTGGATTCCTGTTTAATCTGTACATCCTTTAGTCCCTGTGAGACAGGTGGTGGTGTCTGTTTTGACACAAGACAACTGAAGCTCCTCGTTCTTGGCAGAGCTGACCTATGGATCTAGTTTTCTGTTTCCAAGTTCCAGGATCTCCTTGCCATACCCTTTTGAAGTAGTTTTTCAGATAAGATACCATTTTCACAGTAGTACATTTTCAAAGCTTTTTCCTTGCCATGGCAAAGTAAGATGTGATAAAGGAAACAGAATAAAGGCATCTAGAGTCTCCACTGAGACCACGAAAGTACCTTCTCTGGGTGAGCTGAAGTGAAGAAAGGAGAGCTTGTTCTTAAGTGCCCTCTAAGAAGAGGGAGAGGGGTTCCCTCCCTCTTACTAGTTTTCTGGGTGTGACTTTAACTTAAATGCATGATGTTGCTCTCAGGAATACTGTGGCATCTCTCAGGAACCTTCGAGTTTTACAGTGTCTGACACAGAGGTGTTTAGAGCTCAGATCATGGCCTGAGGAGGTAGTTCAGCTGATAATGTGCATACCTCCCAAGTTGGAGAACTTAGTTTGATTTGTAGAACTCACCTAAAATGTCAGGTATGGTGGTACATGCTTTCAGTCCCAACCCTGGGGAGGTGGAGATGGGGTACCTTGGATTTGAATGACCATCCAGCCTAGCCTAATAGGCAAGCTTCAGGTTCCAGTAAGAGACCATGTCTCAATAAACAAAATGAATATTTCTCTAGAAACAACACTTGAGGCTGACTGCTATGGCCTAAACATACACCCCCCACACATATGAAGATGCACACTTCTAGGTGTGCGTGCGCACACACACACACACACACACACACAAACACACAAAACCAACACACAAAACACACAAAACATAAATATCTTAGGTATTTTGAAGTAGTAAAATCAAGATCTAAAACTCTCTATGTAACATCCCTAATTTATATATAGTAGAAAGAAAATTTATCATAGATGGATAATTTTTATTTATAAATTCCAGACTTAAGGATGTTTTTAATTTTGATGGATAAATTTTCTCATCCTTTGTGATAACTAGAAAATCAATTCATATAATTTTGAAAGAATTCATATCCATTTATACAGTAAAACTTTTGTTGCATTCATGGTGAGCCATGTAAAGAAGTTTCCCAGACCTCCTTCAGACCTCTGTGCAATGTGGTGTGGCAACCTGGGTCTGACCCTGCCCGACTTGCTTAGATCACAGGACCCCTGTACCACTCCTTGAGTGACAACAGGCCAGGGCAGTTACCAGCTCCTGGTAAAGCCCGAAATCAATTCTTAGTTACGTGCTGGGAGATTGGAAACACTTCCCTTTTCACTTGAGATCTCCTATGCTCTGGTGCAGGGATTCCAGTCTGAAGCCTGTCCTGGATGATTGTGTCAGTGAGCCAGAGACAGGAGGGGACAGGGGGCTCATATTTACCTAGGTGTGTTTTAGGTTTTAGAACCCCCAGGATATCCCTGTAGCTCAAAGCTATGGAAAGCCTGCACAGAACACCAGTAATGTCTTCTTCAAAGACAAAAGAGCATATCTTGGCTCCTGAAGTTCTCAGGTGGGCAAGGCTGTCCTTCTAGAATCAGCTGTGTTCCATTCAGCTGGCCCGTGGTTATTGTCCCTCGTATAGCCTGCCAATTCATACTCCCACGAATTGCATAGTACATTACTATTTCTGAGTAGAGACTCATACCCAAGATCATGCTGCTGGCTACACAGAGACAGTATTTTAGTTGGCTTTCACAGCTTCCCCAAACTCCTCTCCAGGGTTCCTTTGCCTCTTTATTCCCAGGACTCACCTCATGTTAACACCAAATACCACTTGCTTGTCCCTAGGTCACTTGGCTAATGCGTTGATATTCTGAATAAAGTTCCTAGTTCCGTGTGTGTGTGTGTGTGTGTGTGTGTGTGTGTGTGTTGTATACAGCTATGTGCAGGTACACTGAATACTACCTGCTTGTCCCGAGGTCATTTGGCTAATGAGTTGATATTCTGAATGGAGTCTCCTGTTCCACTCTCTTGTGTGTGGGAGTGCATGTGAGTGTGTGCATGTGTGTTCTATACAGCTATGTGCAGGCACACTTGCCTGTGTGTGGCCATGCACACCTGTGCATACACACAGAGGCCAGAGGAGAACAACAAGTGTCCTGCTCTATGTCCTCCCCTTTTCCTCTGAGACAGGCTCTGTAACTGAACCTGGGGCTAGACTGGTAGCCGAGAAGTTTCAAGGATCCTGTCTCTGCTCCCTATAGCTCTCAAGTTACAGGCATGTGCGTGGCTACATCTGGCTTTTTACATGGCTATGGGACCTGAACTGGGGTCCTCATACTTGTACAGCAAGTGCTCTTACCCTCTGTGTCTTCTCTTCAATTCCCCAAATTGTACCGTCTAATGCTTACTCTTCAGCCCTTACTTACCCCTTCTGAGCCATGGACCTTGTGTCTGGTGAGGCATACAGACTTCTCACAATAGTATTTGTAAGTACAGAAAAGCTATACATAGGCTTGTAAAACAAATAAAATACGGTATTAGTTTTCTAAACTATGTACTTCTTTATTAACATGACAACTATAAAATCGACTTGAAGTCTAATAACTATCATGACTGGGAAACAGTGATAAATGTGAATGGCATTTTAGGACAGCAACCCTATTGTGATATTGTAGTGTTTATGTTGCTGCTGGTATTAAAAATGCTGATTTAGCTAAGTCTGGGATAGTGTGTTGTCTGTTTTCATAATGGAAAAGAATGCTGTATTTCAGCTAGATATTAGTGAAAATAATGGTGCCCCCATCTAAGTATATTATATCTAAATTTAACTCCATGAATTCAGTTTAGAACCCATCTTCTGTGGTGTACTTACACCTTGAAAGAGAAAAAGTAAGACTGGAAAGATGGATGGATGGTTAAGGGTACTAGGTGTTCTTTCTGAAGATGCAGGTTCGATTCCCAACACCACATGGTAACTCATAGCTGTCTATAGCTCCAGTTCCAGGGGACCTGACACCCTCTTCTAACCTCTGAGGACACTGCACACATATACACATAAAATATATCATTTTAAAAAGAAAAAGAAGTGTGTTTGTGCATGTGTATGAACGTACATTCGTGTATGTATGTAGGGGTATTTGGGAAAGACAGAATTAAATTATAAAAATTAAATTATATCACTGAAGAGTGGATAGAGAAAATGTGGTACATTTACACAATGGAGTATTACTCAGCAGAAAAAAACAATGGAATCTTGAAATTCGCAGGGAAATGGATAGCACTGGAAGAAACCATCCTGAGTGAGGTAACCCAGTCGCAAAAAGACAAACATGGTATGTACTCACTCATATATGGATTTTAGATATGGATCAGGATAGTGCCAGTCTGCACTTCCACGGATAGAGAGTCTGGGAAACAGGAAAGAACCTAAAAGATATGCATATATGCATAGTACCCAAGAGAAGAGGATGGAGACAAGAGCCTCTGAATGGATGGGGAACACGGCGAGGGGTGGGGGGGGAGTGGGACCTGGGAAGAATAGAGGGGGTAAAGAGGAAGGGAGTTGGTCATGGGGGAACAGGAAGTTGAGGGGGTGGGGGTAGAATAGGGGGAAGAGGGAATCATAGGATCGAAGACAGATCAGGCACCAGAGTGACCTCGAGTGATCTAAAGGTATAACATCAATTGGCAAGCTAAGCAATAGTGGAGGGACCACCTCGAATGCCCATTCCTGATAATGAACTTGATGTCTATAACCATCCGGGAGCCTTCATCCTGTGACTGATGGAAGCAGAGGCAAACACACAACTAATCACTGAACTGAACCCAAGGAACCCAGTGACAGAGAGAGAGGAGTGATGAGCAAATTGGCAAAGAATGGGCTGGCAAAACCAGCAGAGACAGCTGATCTGAACAGGGGAGTGCTCTTGGACCCCAGACCAACAGTGGGGAGGCCAGCATGGGACTGATCTGGACCCCCCCAAATGTGAGTGCCAGTGAGAAGGCCTGGGCAACCTATGGGGCCCTGAGCTGTGGATCAGTGTCTATCCCTGGTATACAAACTATCTTCATGTGCCTATAGCACAAAGAGAGATGCTCTCTCAGCCTGGACTCTTAGGGGAGTGCCTTGACCCTACCAAGAGTAAAATGACAGACTCTAGATATCCCCTATGTGGAAGGATTTGGCAATAGGGTGGGAGGGAGGGGGGGAAGGGGAGTGCGGGAAGAGGGGAGGGAGAGGGAACTGGGATTGACATGTAAAACAAGCTATTTAAAATTAAAATAAAAAATGATAAAAAATTAAATTATAAAAACAAAACAGGGATAAGGAGAGGGATGGTGAGAATGTTTTGACATTGAGTCAGTGGTGAGACTGCCGCACAAGCTTGACCCGGCTGCTCCAGAAAATGTTCTGGGTGTGGAGCTGGGGAGAAAAACAGACCTTTAAAGTTGTGTCCAGATTAATTTAGAAGGTCGGTGCAGAGCTAAGTGCCTCAGCCTTTGACTTATTTGG